CCACACACACACACACACACACCATACCACTGACACAGTAAGACCACACACACACCACTGACACAGTAAGACCACACACACACACACCATACCACTGACACAGCAAGACCGCTCACACACCATACCACTGACAGGGTGCGAACCCCCAAAACACGCCAACCCATTGACTAAGTATCAAACCTACACATACCTCACTCAAAGACCCCCACTAACACAGATCCCACTGCCACGATTTGACCCCACTGTCAGCTAAACCCCCCCATCCCATAAACACCCCGATAATGCACCTGGTTAAGATGATTGACACATAGCCCTAGATACTGGCGGCCTGTGCCAGATAGCTAGACTGGGGGGGGATCCGGCTCACCTGATGCAGCTCGCTTTCCCCCAGCTAGCCTTCACTCTGAAACTCCTCCACCTCACCTCGCTGATCCCGCGGGGCCACGCCCTCTTTCTCAGCGATTGGCTATCGCCTCTGGTGACGTAGCGCTGCGGACCAGCAGCCGCCGGCCGCAGCCTCTTAGGGGTTAAAAAGATAAGAACCCGCGTGACCAGCGCCGGGCGGATTTTGAACATTGGTCAGGAAGCTTTTTCTTAGTGTACCAATCAGAAAGGCTTTCTGTGGAAGGAGGCGTGTCCAGAGAGGAAGAGAAAAGCTGGATAGCGATACAGCCAATGAAATGCGTTGTCCTGACGTTCGTGTCGCCTGGTCAGCGTTAGCCCCTTCATTATGGCAGTTTGTTCGCCCCTCTATTCAAAAATCAAAGCTTTATTTAAAAAAAAAAAAAAAAAGACATTCCATTTATGTCAGTGTTTACAATGTGGATATATATTATAGAATTCGTAAAGCACCATCACTACCTTTTTAACCCCTTAGTGACCAGGGCTGTTTTTACATTTCTGCTGTGTTTGTGTTTAGCTGTAATTCACCTCTTTCATATTAAATGCACCTACACTTATTATATATCATTTTGTTCAGAAGAAACAGGGCTTTCATTTCATATCAAATATTTATATATGAAACATAATTTAATATGAAAAAAATCTAAAACAATTTGAGAAATTAAAAAATTTTTATTTTATTTTTCGTTCTGCATGGCATTTTTACTGTGAATGTGATAATAAAAATGTATAATGGATAAATCATCCCAGAGATAACCAGAGGCTCCTAATTAGATGCACAAGCTCTCGGGAGAACCGATAATAAAACCACAGACACGTCATTTGTAGTTAAAAATCAATCTCTAATCTTTAATGGGAGAGCATCACATATTGTTTATTTATTTATAAAATATTTTACCAGGATGGATACATTTAGATTTCTCTCGTTTTCAAGTATGTCCTGGATCCACAAAACATTGCATTGTTACATTAGGGTACAATAAAATACAAAAACAATATTAATACACAATAAATACAAAATTTAACAAAGAACAGGCAGGAAATATATAATCAACCATAACATGTGCATTCTGTTTTGAGGTATGTAGAGAGGGATCTCTTAAAGGACTTTAGGCTTAGGGAAGATTTTAAACTGTGCGGGAGGTCGCTCCATAATTGCGGCGCTCTGTAGGAAAAGGAAGATTGGGCTGCTTTCTTTTTGTATTGAGGTAGACTAAGTAAAGTGTTGGTACTGGATCGGAGGTTATAGGAAGTGGGAACAGCTGGGGAAAGCATTTTGTTCAGGTAGGATGGGAGCTTCCCAGAAAAACTCTTAAACACAAGGTTGGAAAGATGAAGGGTGTGTCTGGATTCCAGCGACAGCCAGTTTAGTTCTTTTAGCATGTCACAATGGTGAGCCCTGTAATTACATTGTAGCACAAATCAGCAGAACGAGTTATACAATGTGTTGAGTTTATTAATGTGGGATAGCGATGCAGGTGCATATACTACATCCCCATAATCAATGATTGGCATCAGCATTTGCTATACAATCTTTTCCTTTACTGTAGGGCTTAGGCAGGATTTGTTTCTGTACAGGGCACCTAGTTTTGGATAAAGTTTAGATGCAAGCTTTTCTATATGCAGGCCAAAAGATAGATTGGTGTCTAACATCATACCCAAGTATTTGAAAGAGTGGACTGCGGTCAGTGTGCCATTTGAACTTGTTTTGATGGATAGGTGGGGATTGTGTAATTTGTGTAATTTAGGTACTGTTCCAAAGATCATTGTGACAGTTTTGTCAGTGTTCAGGAAGAGTTTGTTTTTTGCGATCCACTTTTCTACCTCTGTAAACTGGTCTCGGAGCACAGCCTCAAGCTGCGGTAGATTGGATTTGCTCGCATAGATTACTGTGTCATCTGCGTACATGTGTATATTTGAGGATTTGCAGACATTAGGCAGATAATTTATAAATAATGTAAATAGTAGGGGGCCGAGAATGGAACCTTGGGGAACACCACACGTGACTGGGAGAGGGAGGGAGTCGCTGTCAGAAATGGACACATATTGCGAGCGATTTGATACATACGATCGAAACCAGGTTAGCGAATGATCATATATAAAATGGCATTAGTCTACTGCGCATGTGTCAAAGAAACAATGACTTACTTGAAGAAAGTGTTATCTATGCTATGCAAGGTTAACAAAAAGTAACATTTAACATGAAAAAGAGAAGGGACCCAGCTACAAACAACTGCAGACACAGCAGGAGTCAAGGATTTAACTTTTAACCCCTGCAGACATGGAAGGACTTAACTAAGGCAAAGGCTTAAACCCTTTATTTACCTTTAACTGTGACAAATGTCATAATACTGTTAGCTGTTACTGCAATAAAGTACAAGAATCAATGGATCATCGTCTTCCGTTGAAACGCGTTGTGCTGCATATGGACATCCTATGGTGACAGTTTTTATAGCTTAATGTAAGGTTTTTATTACACTTTGTTTATAATAAATGTTTTCTAATACTAATGAGATGTATCCTGCCATTTTTACACTTCAACTCTGAGGAGAGAGCTGCTGCTGTTGCCCTGCATCCAACCTCCAGTATCACACTCAAGCCTATTTACCTGAGCCAGTTAAAGGAACAGGCTCATTAAAATGTGAGTGTGCTACCAACTATTAGTTTTAAGCAAAACCGTGTTGTATTACCCTAGGAGAGTTTTTCTATATTTCAGGAATACACGCTCTCCAAACAGGGTATACTTATATTGAACACTTTCTCACCAAATACACATGGTGTATATGATTGATAATTTAAGGTTTTTCTGATATTTTGCACTGTTCACTTGTTTTATTATTGTATATATCTGTTTGGTGAAATTGGAGTGATTTACTTCACGGTGAATACAACTGCACTTCTCACTTTTAGTGCCAATTTGCCCATATTTGTTATTATATGTCAGCAGGACAGTACCGATTTCAGGGTCCGGTCGACTCGACTTTATTCCCTGGAACCCTTGCTTTTGGGGACACCAAGAAATTGTCTCAAAACGCATAGTGCAAGTGAATCATTAAGACTTCCTTGCGATATGCTCAGGGCACTAAGACACTGCAAAGAGAATGTTAAAATAGTGCTTTCTTCATGGGCCGCCCTCATTCGGGTGGACCACTGGATTGGCAAGGCAGGCTAACCTACCAATTCTTCTGGGCGGGTCTGCCAACTCTTACTCCACTCACCAACATTTTTCATAGTACACTGCAGTTGGCATTATGAAGTTAAGGTTGTCAAAATCCTCAATATGTCTATGATTTAATTTAAAGAACCAATAAAGTTACCCAGATTACATCATCTCAATAAAGAGGTCTGAGTGTAATCGTACTATGATTTCAAACCCTGCAAGCTAAAATATTGCAGTTTAGTAGAAAATATAATGTTTACATTGCATTGTTCAAAAAACACCTCTAGCGAACACAGGGTTTTCAGACAAATCCTTTACCGACCAAAGGGGAGATTGGGCCTGGGTTTACCCAACTTACACCTTTACTACTTGTCAGCAAAACTTGCACAGATTAAAGAACTTTGCATGAACCCCACAAGTATGTGCAGCAGTAAGAGCTCCACTGACATGTGTTGAAACACTTTGCATGAAGGAAACCTCTCAAAAAGGCCAATTACAACCATCTATTCACAACTAACTGCCCCCAACAGAGACGAAGACACTCTCACTTATGTTACTTAATGGGAAAGAGACTTACAACAGACGTTAGAGGGTGGGGACTAGCAAGGCACCTGGGAGGCAGCTGCTAAAGTCACTATTTGAACATGCTATATTTGACCCCGTAATTTTTAAAAACTCAGAAAACCTGTACATCGGGGGTACTGTTGTACTCGTGAGACACAGCTGAACACAAATATGTGTATTGTTTTGTAATAAAAGCCAACAGTATTATGGCATTCACAGTTCAAATGACATGCCGTACCTTAAAAATAAAATTTCTTAATTTCTCAAAGTTTTTGGTTGAACAGACATAGCGCAAATTCCAGGTTTTGTTTACATTTTGTTTTGATCAGAATGTGTACATTTGACTCCGTCCTTAAGGGGTTAAGCTCTTTATCTGCAGCATTTCAAAGCAAAACGCCTCACATACAGACTCCAGGCAAGGTGATCACTTCAAACCACTTAAGAGGTCATGGTGCTTAGAGTATCCATTTAAGAAAATAGGAATTCAGGAAGAAAGTTTTGGAGGTATTAGGATTATTCATTTGGGATTTTGCATTAATTCTTATTGTACCTACTTTTAGGCATATCCACTTGCCCAAAGGGATGGAGTCATTTAATATAGTGGAATAATTTTAGACTTCAAGATGATAGATATACTATGTCTACACCAGACTAATCAAGTCATGCAATTTGTATTCTGCTACTGTTCTCGAGTACAATGATACCCCACATGTATACTTTTGCCCTGCGTTTGAGGGACTGTAGGGTGATCTTTGACATGTCTCTTTGCAGCTCAGAATTTTGACACAGATAGCAAATATTGGCACGATTTCTAAACCCTGGTGATTTAAAGAGCACACAGCTAATTGTGGCTCTGGCTGAGAGGGAACCCTCAGGTAGCAAATATCTGGGACCCCAAGTACCAGCAGGGATCTAGTTTTGCTGAATCCTTAAATGCTTGAGTCATCCCCTTCTTCCAGTCCTCTCCTGCAGAAGAATCCAGTTAGCTTAACAGAGCAAAGTATGGCCATGGCTGAACTGAGCTCTTTCTCTGAGAGCATCAACTGAATCAGCCATCAGTCTGCAGAACAAGACAGGATGCAGCACAGAAGCCCAGTAGATCCATGTGTTTTATACCCCACCTCTTATAGACTGTAAGCTCGTTTGAGCAGGGTCCTCTTCAACATATCGTTCCTGTAAGATTTAGTAATGGTCTTATTTATTGTTAATTCTCCCCTTTTTATAATATTGTAAAGCACTCAGAATCTGTTGGCGCTATATAAATGCCAATAATAATAATAATGTAAGTTGTCAGAGTGTACTACCTTCTTACCATGTGATGGAGCTAGGGTACTCTTTGCACCATGACCACTACAAAAAAACTCTGTTGGTTATGGAATTATGATGCCTTTAAAGATCCATGTTACAGACTAGGTAATAATAACCCTGGTACACTTCTCCCACACCTTGTCAGCAACCTTTTGCCATACTAACACTTTCTGCAATGCATCATCTTGAACCCACTTAGTACTCTCTGTTTAATTCTTATGCATCAATAGAGCTCTTTTTACCTTTATATCACTGTCCTGTTTTTCCCATCACTACTAGCTACCCGAATAATTGTCTCTTGATTCCCTTACCCATGTGTGATCTGTATATCTGTTATCTGCCACCTTCTGTACCAGTAATGAGCTTTACACGTTGCAGATAGTGCTAGCAACAGGATACCAGATGATGATGACAGCACTAGATATTAAATGCCTTTGCGTGATATGCCTTATTGGACGTCCAAGACTGAAAGCATCCCCCCAGCAATGCAAAATATATTCTAGACAGATAGAATAGATATGTACGCTGCTTTCAAGCATGTTTCAATCTCTCTGCAGGGTCGGAAATATTCCAGACATAGAAAGGTGTTTTTTTCCCCCCCTCATACAGTTTGAGATTTTCTACTGACTATGTTTTAGTTTTTTTACGCCAAAACAGAGTTGCTACATTTAACACCTCCAGTCTTTTTGTCCTCATATTTACATGTGTTCATATTGTGCAATGAGACCCTATATAGACCGGGATAGCTTTCAAATTTCCAGATCCTGTTACAAATGAAGTGATTCCATTCTACTTGCATCCTTTGTGCACTCATCCATATCCCCCTGGTTTTCTATCAGTTTGTCTTTAATAAAAGTGGAATCCATACTGTGGACTGCTGCAAAGTAAGTTTGTGTGCTTCCTTCTTGGGTTATCATTATAGATTGTGAAGCCTTACAAACAGTAATCATCCTCTTAAGAGAATGGCAGGCTGATATGGGTTTAGGTCTGGTATGATTGCACATTTGTATGTTAATTACAGGCATTCACTTTCCTGTAGCTCCCTGGACTGACAAGGAAGGGAGGACCTGACTGATGCCTGAGTTAAAGGGTTAGGACCAAAATGGATACATTCGTTTAGTTAAGAGGAGGGATAAAAAGAGGGGAGAGGGGACTCACCAGTTCGTCAGGAAAAGTGTAGGGATCCTAGCTTTCCCGCCCACCCTCCCTGTTTCAGTAATCTGTTGCTTGTGGTGCTTTGTGTCTAGTTCTTCTCGTTTTGTCATAGCTTGCGGGAGTCCTGGCCAGCGCAGTACAGTTGAAGAAGATGCCGAGGTGGCTTGGGGAGTTGCAGCCTGCTGAGCGCTGATGGCGGGGGCAGACTGCTCTGGACTCTTGGATTATTTCACGGTAGAGCTGTCTATTGGGGAAGCATCCCAACAGCTGACAGGTTATGTTTGCTGGCATTTGGTGTTTAAGTTAAATAAAGCTGTGGCCGTTGCTCTTACCCAACAACATAGTGTATTATTGGGCAACAGGATGGGTTGGTCAGCAGTCATGTTTTCTATTGATTATCGTATGCAATAGAACTTTGTATTGCAATACATTTTACTGTGAACATGTCTACTGCTAAAAACAATATGTAAAAAAGGTACAGCACATATAGCTGCCTAGAAACAAAGTGCCCAGATAGTTTCTCAGAGGAACTAAAAAAGACACCCCACCAATCTACGAACAAAAAAAACAAAAAAAATAAAACATGCGCTTATGCTCTTGCCAGAGGCAGGTTGATCACAATCAGGGCTATTTACTAAAGTGAGACTTCAACTTCAAAGTGAATGAATTTTAAATTTTATGCCAAATTAGCTCAATTTGAAGCATTGCGGAGGTGAAGAATTTGGCCAGTTTGGCTTTGGTTACTATGGCCTTAAATATGAAATTCACAGTGAATTCTCACTTTAGTAAATCCTGAATGACTCCAATTGCAATCACAAGGAAGAAAAGTGGTTTTTTTTTGTGATGGGTAATTTAAGAGTGGTGTATTTACATTTTGTTTAAAAACAGTAATTCTGGTTTGTAAAGTATACACCAGCATAACAAAAAGATCAATCATTTATAGCAGGTAACAATGATCTCTTCTAACCAGTTACATGACCACTACACACCCATAAAGCTCCTCAAGGGCATTTTAGAAAAGTGCTCATTTATAATTAAAGGAACACTATAGTAACCAGAACCAATACATTAAGCTGTGTCTATAGACTGTCCCTGCAGGTTGAGCAATGATAAGGCAGCGTTTACATTGCTGCTAATTAACACCTCTAGTGGCAGTCCCACTTCCTAGTTCAGTGCTGCAGTGTGCAGCACCTACATACATGGTGATGCTGAACACTCCCCATAGAGATGCATTGATTTAATGCATCTCCATGGGACAATGCTGATTGGTGCAGCAAGGCCTATTTTTGTGCATGTGCAACTACCTGAGATTATCAAGATTGATGATCTCTGCCATGGAGGCGGAGCCAGCTGCAGCGAGAAAGGCACAATGATGGACAAAAGGTAAGTTAAAATGTCTTTACTCCACAGACAGTGGGGCCGGGAGATAAACGGCCACTACAGCACTGTACAGGTTTGTATTCCTAACACTATGGTGCTTTTTAAATAAAACACTTCTGGCTGTCAGTCAGCCAGGTAGATTTGCTTTCTACTTCCGTCAGCTCCCTCGAGCTAACGAAAGTGGCAGAAGCGCACCCAGAGGTGTACCTAGGGTCTCCGGCATGCCTCCCCCTCCCCCCCATTGAAAAAGTTAAATTCATTTTTTCGGTTTAGATCAATTTCAATCATTTTCTACATTTTTAAAGGTACTGATCCTATATAAGTTCTCCACCATGTAAAGGGAAACTAAAGAAACATATGTAGCATTTTATTTTGTTTGCTCATCCTCCCTGTCCCATAAAAAAAAAAAAATGTATAAAAAGGAATTATTATAGCTAACACATACTTCAATCAGGGTGTCTGAATATAGTGGGGACTGCACATGATGTATTGGAGTGTCAAGGTGTAATGGCTACAGTTTGTGTGTGACATTTGGCTGCATGTGATGTATTATATTGTCTGTGTGTGATGGTGTGATATTTTTGAGCTGTGTACATGTGATGGAAACGGTGTGTTGGTATTGGGCTGGCTGTGTGTGATCAGTATGTGTGTGATTATTTTGTGCTGTTAATGTGTGATGGGGACTGCTTGTGTTTGTGATGGTTTTTGTGGATGCTATCAATGTACTGCTTACTAAAACTATTTGAATCTGCTTGTACAAAGGATTAATATATGTTTATACTTGGAATTCAATTCACATGACTGTAGCATATATATGGATTTTCTACATATGGCTGTCTTAAAGACAATACCAATAATTATTACAGACCTGTTCATCCACAGGGATTATTCTATACTGTGCCAAGTGTATATTACTACTATGTGGGTGTCCTCTGGGGTTTTCACGGCATGCCACCTGGGGTGAGCCCCCAGATTATTACGTATAGCTCTGCCAGAGCAGACTTTACAAAAATATGGTACCTTACTTGCAATGTTAATACCTATGTGATTTGGCTGAATACTCTTGCTGACCAAGGAGGTACAGCTCTCGAGTACAACGGGGATGAGCCCCAATATAATTACACGCCTCCGAGCGTCTGTTTAAAGGGTGAGCCCCTCTCCAGGTACCAAACCTCATGGAGGGGTCTTATTGGGTGAACCCCAAATTTATGAGACTATTAGGTCTCCCATATCACTCAAGGGAAACCCACTTTTGTTCCACTTGAGGGTGAGCCCTCTTTCACTGACACGTACTACACTCACGACACATGTGTGACCGCTCACACCAATCAGACGCGGTCACACTGAGGTGCCGATCAGGCACCATGACAATCTGTTCACAAGTTAAATTTGCTTTGGTTTACAATAAATATAAGGATTAGTGAAGGATATTAGAATTGGTGCTGCTATCACCTATGTGTTCACCCCAAACACACGTATGTATTGCAAAATAATCAATAAAAAACTGTGAGAGCACACAAATAGATAAAATTACTACAGGCTGTAAAACATAAAACACCTATAATACAAAACATAAAACAAGTCCATAGGGTAATATAGTAAATCACCAATCTCATTAAAAAAAAAAAAAAAAACATATATGGTCACACTCACATGGTGCTGAGCCACTCAAATAGCTGTCTCAGACTTAGAAGCTCTCCTTCAGAACTTTGTTCAAATGAATAAGCATCTGGTATGACACTGCAAGCACCATAACCACTACAGCACGCAGAAGCGATTATGATTTCAGGATTTACCTTCAATATAGCTGGTTTAAGTTGCTAGAAGCCAGTTTGGAAACAGCACTTAACTGATCTCTAAGGAACATCCACTTCATCCTTTTATTGATAGAGCTTTGAAGTATTATTATAATAAGAACAAAACAAAAGGGGGAACCGTTTAGGCGGTAACCCCTTTGTGTAAAGAGTAACCCAAAAATAAATAAAGTTATAAAACGTCACTTTTAATATGATTATTTAAAATATTAGGAGCACTTATCATAAATGAAAATAGTATCTGTGATAGAACACCCCTATCAGATCATAGTTCAAAAAAATGAATGAAATGTAAATGTTCAAATTGCTCTAAAATCAAGAAAAAAATTATAAAAATTAAAAAATAATATATATAAATAATCAAAAAGTAATCAAAATAGCAAATAAAGGTTTAACAAAAAGAAAGGGGTTTTGATAGTTTGGTAATTACACCATATTGTTGCAATGTTAAACGGAGTGCAACCGGATTGGAAACTTGCAACTGTTACATTCCATATAAATCAGGAGTGGAGAGATATGATGTAGCGAAAATAGAGCAGGAAGCCCGGCAGTTAGTGAAATATATTTCTAGTTTCCCTACTCTATTGTGCCTTCGAGGGCACCCCTCAAAAATTCTAATTTCAGCTAAAGGGATATCTTGTCGTACGGCTGTGGTGTAAACCAAACTAAAGATTTAATTAAGAAAAATAGGGAAAATAACTTGTGTGTAAATATCAAAATAGAAAATAAAAGTAGTTGAAGTATGGCTGGAGCTGCCAATAAAAGATCTTTATGAATATTGTCTCATGTCTCGTGGACCAGCATCATACTTCATAAAAGTCCCTTCTAAGTATTAGCCAGCTTTCTGAGTGGCTCAGCACAATGCAAGTGGGAGCACATATATATTTTTTATTTTAATTTTTTTTTATAAGATTGGTAAATTTACTTTGGTGCTTATTGTGTCATTTTAAAGTTTATAGAAAATCAATTCTCTTTTATAACTAAGTATAACCCTACAAATAAAACTAAGCCTCCAATCAAGACATATAATCATGTCATTCTTTCACGGATAGTTAAAAAGATGACTTCAAGTGTGCAATCACCTCATGTTAAACGCGGGATAAATATGGTTAAAGGTTTCACTGTTGTATGACACTGTATGTGTAGCACTTTTTGTCTAAAGAAAGAATAGAGGATTAAAAAACCCACTATAACTGCTACATCTTATTGTAATTGTTGTTGTGTGGTAACTATGGCATAGTACATTTATTTTGTTGAACAGTACCATAGGAGGGCGGTGTCAAATTTGCTGGCACCAAAAGTCAAATACCTTTTACCCATAAATATATTCTAGATGCACATTTAAGAAGATGTAGGGCTTAAAAACACATGGACCAGGGTTTGGGTGCAAGGGAACCCTCCATTTTCTGTTAAACTACTTGAAAAAAAAAAAAAAAAACTTGAATAATCTCTTTACACCATAACCACAAAAAAAAACAAACGATAACTGTTCTCAGACTGTCTCTTCGAACACACTAGACTCGAGCACTTATTGTTTCATCCGACTGAGCTAAGCAGCATTTTAAACCAGAATCAGAGAACGTGCAAGAAGACCATGTAATACAATATAAATTAAACTTTATTAAAATTAGACTTTACAAAAAAACAAACACATTTTATCTATTAAAACATGCAGAAAATTAAAGAATTTAGTGCAGTACAAAGTATTGTGCATTAAATGGTAAAAGCCTACTACAGCCTCAACACTGAAATTCTGATTTGAAAATGTATCCTTTTTCATTCATAAAGGGAGCAAGAAAGAAAAAAAACGAAAAAAAAAAACGAAAAAAAAAAAAAAACACACCACACAATGCACACCAAGGTGTATTATTTAAAGGGATGATAGCACCTCTTACAGTTCCAGTATATTAACTATTATATTATTGACTTTATGCAGTCAGGTTAAAGGAAACGTGGAATGAATTTCGTTTATCCTGCCTGAGGGAAAAGATATTTCAAAGCAAGCAAATATTAGAAGAGTTATGTTTAAATGTTTACATTGCATGGTTCAACAAACACCTCTAGCGAACACAGTGTGTTCAGACAAATACTTTACCGACCAAAAGGGGAGAGGGGGCCTGGGTTACCTAACTTACACCTTTACTACTTGTCAGCACAACTTGCACAGATTAGAGAACTTTGCATGAACCCCATATGTATGTGCAGCAGCAAGAGCCCCATTGACATTTTTTGAAACACTTTGCATGAAGGAAACCCCTCAAAAAGGCCCGATTACAACCATCTAATCACAACTAACTGCCCCCGACAGAGAGACACTCACTTATGTTACTTAATGGGAAAAAGACTTACAACAGACGTTGGAGGGTGGGGACTAGCAAGGCATCTGGGAGACAGCAGCTAAAGTCACTATTTGCGTGACTTTACAGGAACAGTTATATAAGACGATCATGAGGTGAAATACCACTCAAACAATTCAGAATGGGGAACACTCCTACAGATGTTTGCTGGTGGGGTGGCTGGGCAAAAGGGACATATATCCACATGACATTACTCGGAAAAAAAAAATATGGATGTTTTAGAGCAGTAAAACATATAATGCTAATGATATCATTTGTGAAAGGGCAGTTTATCTGTGAAAAATGCAAACTAACAAATATGAATGCTAATTGTGGCCAGTGTTTGTGGCTACTAAAAAAGACTGGACATACCCCATTTTGCATACCCTGGGTTGTCTACTTTTGCAAATGGTATTCCATGATGGGGGTATTTTTCATAACTTGGCTGCTATACGGTCTCAAATGCAACATAACCAATCTAGCAAATTTTATGTGTATAAACTGAAAAGGGGGAACATGCTATATTTGACCCTGTAATTTTTAAAAACCCAAAAAACCTGTACATCGGGGGTACTGTTGTATTTGTGAGACACAGCTGAACACAAATATTTGTATTGTAAAAAAAGCTAACAGTATTATGACATTCACAGTTCAAATGACATGCCGTACTTTAAAAATAACATTTCTTTATTTCTCAAAGTTTTTGGTTGAACAGACATATAGCGCAAATTCCAGGTTTTGTTTTGATCAGAATGTGTACATTTGACTCCGTACTTAAGGGGTTAAACTCTTTATCTGCAGCATTTCAAAGCAAAACGCTTCACATACAGACTCCAGGCACCATGTTTAATATAAATTAAACTTTATTAAAATTAGACTTAAAAAAACCTAACATTTTACCTATTAAAACATGCATAAAATTAAAGCATTTAGTGGAGTACAAAGTATTATGCATTAAACAGTAAAAGCCTACAACAGCCTCAACACTGAAATTCTGATATGAGAATGTATCCTTTTTCATTCATAGAGAGAGAAAGAAAGAAGAAGAAAAAAAAAACACACACACACACACCGCACCCCTATGCTGCCACCTGGCTGCATAAGCAAGGTATATTATTTAAAGGGATGATAACACCTCTTACAGTTCCAGTATATTAACTATTATATTATTGCCTTTGTGCAGTCAGGTTAAAGGAAACCTGGAATGAATTTAGTTTATCCTGCCTGAGGGAAAAATATTTCACAGCAAGCAAATATTAGAAGAGTTATATTTATAGTGGCTCTGACACTTTTTTATTAAATTTGTAGCCCTCCACTATGCCGTCTGAGTAGCCTAGTCCCTACCCCTGCTGAAATGGTGTTTTATAGAATAGAATAGGGGCTACTTTTCCTTATTCAGAAATGGCAGGTTGACAAAAGGTGGAGCTGTCATCAAAATCCACTTTATTTGTCAACATCATTGGTTGCCATTTCGTACACCGTTCCAGCATCGTGTCACCTTCTGCTATCGATGAGGCTCAAACAGTCTGGACGAACTGGTCATGCATGTGCTAGAGAGGGCAGAGGCGCCATCTTGTTACAATAGTATATGTAACAAGATGGAGGTGCCGTGCATGGCGGGACAGTCAAGACGCTAAAATGGTAAGTAGCAGTAGTCCCTGGGATCTTCACTAAGCATTGGCTGGGTTAGGTAGGCTAGGGGGACCACAAGAAAGGCTAGGGCAGTGTCGGAGACTAAAGTGACAAAACTGCTTTAATGATCTAATCATGAGTAGCTTTCCACGCTGTGCTTTATGCAGACTTTTGTGACTTTGTTGCTGCCACTGCAATTCCTGCAAAGGGTTTTAATTTAAAATGTTGTACACAGTACAATTCACCTAAACAGCAAAGTTCTACTAATAATAAATATTATTTACTACATCATTACACTCACTTGGTAATCAAGAATATTAAAATTCTGTTACTCAGCTTGAAACATTTAACCAAAACTGTGGAAATGTCATATGAAAATAGCAACCTGTTGCTATTTTTGTTAAAGGAATACTTCAAGCACCATAACCACTACAGTACAACATCGTGGCATTTGGTGCCCGGGGCCACTGGAAGCCATTCAACGGTTAACTTTCAAATTATTTTGAATGTATTGATACCTACCTTGCTATGTCAGGCATGCACATTCCAGTTCGGAGTTTTTTTGATTAAAGGTTTACCAGGAGTACCAGGTTTAGACCGTATACATTGACTGAGAATTGTCAGCTGTCCTGGCACAGTCAAAACATACCATGCAAATTAACCAGGAGTGTCTGGCACTCACAGGATATTTTATTTCCAGATACCCATGGGCACAAAGCACCAGGAGAGTTTTATTTTTATTTTTTGTTTTTTAATTAACTGTGCTGCCCTGCTCACTCTGGTAAACATTTCAGTAGCATTTTACTGTGGAAAGTGAATAAGAGTAAATCACGTCTAGAAACGTGACAGTTTAAATATTAGTTTTCCTAACCTATTTGGCTTTAAGGTTCACAGATCTGTGGTCAACACAATACAGTTCACTGTTTAGCGCATAGATGTGTAACACTGTTATTTAGTCAGAATCAAGTGAGAATTGAAGTTTAAATTTGAGTCCAGAATGGCCAAACTAGAAACATTGCTGATGTCAGCTATCCTTCCTTTTCAGCTTATCTAAATTTGAAATTCACTACGATTTCCTGACAATTCTCACTTTAGTAAATTATCTTGTAAGTGTGTGTTTTCCCTCTAACAAGATAACAGTATCTAAGACTATGTAGAATTCACTATCGAATGAAGCAATCTCAGCATCTGCAAATCCTTTATAATGCACCTGTTTATCCAGACAAATGAAACACAGGCAAAGTGCCCCATGGTTTCACACACAGACATTAACAGAGTTATTTAGTACAGTGAGAATTCAAAGTGAATTCAGAGTGAATTTCAACTTTAAGGCCAGAGTAGCTGAACTAGAGAATTTTTCTAGTTCAGCTATTTTGACCTCAACTTTAAAGGTCACTTTGCATACACCTTGGATTCTCATTTAGTGAATTACACTGTAAATCTTGTATGTCCTCTACTAGATGGAAGCAAAGCAGAAACTGAAAATTTGTATAACCAAAATGTTCTGGGTTTATCTTAAATCCTCGAACTTTGCAGATATTTGTCAAGAAATTGCGAGTAACAGGTGAGAGAACAGAAGTAGCAGATGATTGGAGCGTCTGTACCTCCCATAGTGTCCACAAGAACCACTGTCTGCGACACCTGATGAAGGTTCATTAGAACAATCACTTTAATGAAAGAATTCAGGCAGGGTCGGCCACAGTTACAGGTTTTTGCCATGGAGAGTTCTTGACAGAGTGTAACTGGAAGGATATGAGGACTGTGCGGAATCCTGGAAAAGAACAGAGAAAAATATAACACTTTTTAAAGACTATAGGAATTGTAAAAACATATAGCTTATTTCATAATTTTCAGAGTCACGTCATTTTTATCTGAACTAGCAACTAAAAGATTTCAAATATTTATTGAATTTTTAATTTTATTTAACTATTATTTCTGCCACTTGTGGCGGAATCTTCAAATGAAACATTACATTCTTCAGTAACATGGAAATTGACTGTTGAATATGTTACATTGTTGGAATACAACAACAGACATAACATAGTTGCGATAGGTATACCTTGATCATCAGTACTTGGTGAGTGTTTGGCAATGGACATTAACCCCTTAAGAACACATGACATGTCATGATTCCCTTTTATTCCAGGTTTGGTCCTTAAGGGGTTAAAAGTGAATTCTAGTCGTACGAGTGTAGGTGTCTGTACATTGAGAAAGTTATATATAACACTGTCATGGCCGAATCCCGTTTTTTGTTTAACCCCCCCTCCCGACTCCTCTACATCTGACCCCCTAGTCACCCCCAAATGCCCCTAAACCCCGCATATTACCTATTTTTAAATCTTTATTTTCTGCTCCGATCTATATTCAGGGCGCCGCCATCTTTGGGTGGGTAGAGGAAGTCCCTGTTAAACACGTGGGCATGCAAACAGGAATTTCATCTATTCATTCGTCAGATAGACGAATGAATGACTAGGAATTTCAGACGAACAAACTAACACTGAATATTAGTGTTCGTTTGTTCGTGCAGTTTATTACAAGGAGGGAGCTACCGGCATGCAACTCCCTCCTTGTAATATGTAAAGATAGAAGCGGCAAGGAGCAGTGCTCCCCACCACTTCCTAAACCCCCCATGTCCTCCCTTACTCTATGGGGGTCAATATGACCCCCGTAATAGGATAAGGGAGATTAAAATCTCCCCGATGCCCTTACTTGCTATACCGCGAGTAGGGGCATGTCTACTAAACAGTGAGCAGCCTGTGGCTGCTCACTGTAAAAAAACAAAAAAACCTACTATCTAGCCCCCACCCCGGTGCCCCTCCCTTATTAGTATTTAGGGCCCCCACCCACCGTGCAGGGGGCCCTAAATAAAAATAAGGGGGGGAGGAGGGGACACCTATTGTCCTCCCCCTGGCCCTCACCCCTGTACGGTGGGTGGGGGCCCTAAATACTAATAAGGGAGGGGCACCTAATGTCCTCCCCCCTTTCCCCCACCCCTGAGCGGTGGGTGGGGGCCCTAAATTAGAATAAGGGGGGGTACCTAATGTCCTCCTCCGTGGCCCTCACCCCTGAGCGGTGGGTGGGGGCCTTAAATTAGAATAAGGGGGGGACCTAATGTCCACCCCACTGAGCGGTGGGTGGGGGCCATAAAGATAATGAGGGAGGGACGACCTACAGTCCTCCCCCCGTCCGGGAGCCATAAAGATAATGAGGGGGGACCTACTGTCCTCCCCCCCACAGTCCCCCACCCCTGCGTGGTGGGTGGGGGCCATAAAGATAATGAAGGGGGGGGGGAGAATCTACCGGGGGGTGGGTGGGGGCCATAAAGATAAAGATATTGTACCTCATATGCGCGCTGTTAATTGTTTTTCATTAAATAGTTATTGTGAAGGAATAACACTTTCGGCTCCTTTTGTTTGTTTGGATTCGTGCTTACGTTTATTTAGTTTATTTGGTTTCAGAACCAAGACCACCCCAAAGACCAATTAGAACGTGGAACGTTATTTCCTTTGAGGTTTTCGTACAAGATACATAATAGAATGCTCCACTGGGTGGCCGCCATTTTGGGCATGCGAACGCACATGGTTGGGACAATTGATGGCGGTCAGTTTGTCTAACGAAGGCTGGCAGCGGGACTTGGTCTTCGAGTGCCTGGAACTCATTTTGGCCAGGCACTCCTGAGAATGCTGGTCACCATGGACATACGTTCCAGTTCACCTATATGAACGGGGTTCGGGAGTGAGTTACAGACTAACGAACACGGGGAGCATTCTACACGAACCAGCTTTCATCCACCTTATGTGGTTTTCATACAAAATCCCACGAACGGAGACCGGCTCTTGCCACAATTTCCCTGGAACTATTTTGCGCTTCAACCTCGTGGCAGACCGGTCAGAACTTCCCCGCAATGGCGATCCAAAACTACCGAACGGATCTGGGTGATATTTGGATATATTGTCCGCCCAGATCCAGGCTATCCAGGGATGCCACTTTTGTGGGGAAAAGGGCATCCGTGACAGTGATATTCTGGCAGACCACCACAGTTATCTTTGTGTTTATTGAGCACTGGGGCCAAAGGTGGGTAGTGGACTGCAGCCAAGTCTGAGCCAAGGCCCTAATGTGATGTTGCGGAGAACAGCTGTCTCTGCTCCCATCCAACTGTGAATATGTTTAGATAATAGAAATACCTATGTATTAAGGCTAATGTGTTTGTGTAATATCTGAGATGCCTGCGTCCCTACCTCCTTCCAGAAAGGTGTCACTAATAGGCAACACCACCACATTTGGTGGTATGTTCCTCTGCCACCACACAGTCCCCAACACAGGTCAGTCGGGGTTTTACGCATATGATATAGCTTAACTGGTGTTGTGTACCATCTGAGCATTGTTTGAAATGCGTGTTCCTGCATTGTTACACACATGGACATTTTACTATTTGCCTCCCATCTATCTTGCCAATCTACGCCCTCCAAAACCTCTCCTATCTCCCATTCCCATCGATCGGTATAGTTTAATTCACCCCAGTCCATTGTAGTGAAGCGGAGGTGAGAACATATGGTGCTAATCAAACCTTTCTGGTATGCCTCAGCATCGCATATTCATTCATAGTAGCTAGGCTGCGTACAGGCTACCTTTTTAATGTGGGGTAGGCTCGCAAAGTCCCACATCTGGATATATCTGAAGAAATATGTGGGCTTAGTAGAGCTTCTCTGGATGAGTAGTGAGATTTACCCCCAAAAAATTGATCTGATTAGGTGCCATGCGTATTTTATAGGTGTTGCCATTGTGTGCCGCGTCCGTCGCCAAAAGATCTAAAGGGAAGCACTGGACTTCTCCATATTCACTTTGTAACCTGATATGTCTCTATAAGTGGACGGAAGTGGAACTAAGGCTCTCATCGATTCCATGGGGTTCGTTAATGTGAAATATTCATTGATTTTTAACTGAAAAAAACAAATATGCATATCAATATATTTAGCCACAATAAACAAGAATTGTAGTGGGTATAGGCTTATCCAAGAACAGCAGCTCAGCATGAGAATCCAGATGTTTTTCCTATAGATTTACCATGATGTACAGCTGGCTAACAACTGCATTTTCTTAGGATGGTTAAAGACAATACCGTATATACTCGAGTATAAGACGAGTTTTTCTGCACATTTTTTGTGCTACAAAAACCCCATTCGTCTTATACTCGAGTGAGTGTCTGTATTATGGCAACTTACATTGCCATAATACAGACCAGGACCGCCGGGCTCATTACAAGCCTGGCGGTCCTGTTGGGGGCTGGCAGGAAGCGTTTACTTGCCTTTCCTACTGCTCCTGTCAGCTCCCTTCTCTCTCCTTCAGTCCGGTCAGCTCCTCTGTCAGCTCCACTGCAAGTCTCGCGAGAGCCGCGGGGTCAGGGTGTTGCCACAGGTTACCGTGGCAACGCTCCGCGCGGCAGTGGAGCTGACCGGACCGGAGGAGAGAGAAAGGAGCTGACAGGAGCAGCAGGAAAGGCAAGTAAACGCTTCCTGCCAGCCCCCTCCTACACAGTGCACACCACTGGACCACAGGGAATGAGGCTCCCTGGTCATGTATCATGGGAAAAAAAACAAAAACATAAAAATGTAAATAATACAAAATAAAAATAATAATATAAAAAAAATTAAAATAATAATAATAATATAAAAATAATAAAAATGCCCACCCCCCACCAAGGCTCTGCATCACATACACACACTGCATTCATTATATACACACACTGTAAATAAATATTCAATTAATATAATTTTTTGGGGATCTAATTTTAGTTAGAAATTTACCAGTAGCTGCTGCATTTCCCACCCTAGTCTTATACTCGAGTCAATAAGTTTTCCCAGTTTTTTGGGGTACAATTAGGGGTCTTGACTTATATTCGGGTCGACTTATACTCGAGTATATATGGTAATCACAATTCCTATTAGAAAACAGCCATCAACCATTCATTGCCCCCCAATTTTCTACACATTATGTTCAATTTTTACTGGCTGTGCATGCATGCGCCATACATACACCTGGATAAAGAAACTACACAGGATAATTCTGTAATCACTCTTGTATTTCCCTTCCTTTATCTGACTTCTTTACTTCTCTGATATCTCCTCTTTAAAGGAACACTATAAGGTCAGGAACACAAATGTATTATAAACGTATTATATTTTACCAGGAAAGATACATTGAGATTTCTCTAGTATTCAAGCATGTCCTGGGTATTCCTGACCCTATAGTGCAAAACCATTAAGGTGGCTTCCTCCCCCCCACCCCCCCCAACCCCCTGCAATAGCCCATTAAAAGCATGAAAAATGCACCTTATTACCAGCGATGTGCTGGTCTGCCGGCACTGGCCCCACACCCATGGTGACATCATCAGAATTGCTGATTTTTAACCAATCCAATGGGGAAAGCATTGGATTGGCTGAAATCGGCAAGGGGGTGGGGCCAAAACGCCCTTTTGGCCAATCAGCACCTCAACATAGAGATGTATTGAATCAGTGGATCTCTATGAGGTAAATTCAGCGTCCCCATGCAAGAGGTAAGTTTAACCCCTTCCACCCCCTTCAGCCAAGAGGGAGGGGGACCCTGAGGGTGGGGGCACCCTCAGGGCACTATAGCGCCAGGAAAACAAGTATGTTTTCCTGGCACTATAGTGGTCCTTTAACACCTTCAAATATTTCTTCCCTCATCTTACAATTTACTTTACATTGGTCCTCTTCACTCCACTCCCTCACTTCCATAACCACGACCTCAAATCCTTCTCCATGCAGATTTCTGTCTTTGCTTGCTATATCTGCTACTTCTGCAACAAACTCCTTTTATGGAGCTACTCAGCTGCCCTTACAACTTTGTAAATATATCTAGTCAAAAGTGTCTACCTTGACCCTAAAAAGAGCAACCCTTTTACTGACCGCATCTGAACACTGACCCCTCCACCATAGACCAGTGCTCCTCCTAATATCTTAATCTTCACTAGTGTACCCATCACATATACTCATATATTAAGGAATATACATGTCACATATCTAAATCAGACTATGAGCCAGGCTGTCCAAAAAATTTTATATGGATATACACTAAATAAAACAAAAATAACTTCAAATTAACAGCCAATCTTTGAATAAATAAAACAGGTCAAATGGAACCATAATACAGTTCCACCTTTATTGACAAATCTTACCTGTAATTAATAGTTACTCTTGAAGCACATTCCAGTAAGGACAGTGGCATCTTTAGATGAATATCTGGAACCATGGGTGCTGCTTTCACAAATGGATTATCAAACAGATCTAGCTTCTCAAGGTTTAACATTTTAAAGCTACTGGGGAGATAAGGCAGTTTGTTTTTGGTGGCAGACAAAAAACGCAGCTTGCTCAGTTTCCCAATTGTGAATGGCAGTTGAACAAGTTCGTTTTCATCAAGTTTCAGGTTAATAAGTTCCTTGAGCTGCCCAAACTGGACAGGAAGGGCCTTGAGTTTGTTCTCACTCAAGTCTAATGACGTAAGAGTGTTTCCCCAAGCGGAGATGCACAGGGACACCTCAAAAGACTCCAAGAAGTTATGCTGTAGGTTCAACTCCTGGAGACACACAAGATCTCCTATCGTCTTGGGCAACTTCCTGATATGGTTGTTGCTAAGATCTAGTTTTTGAAGTTTCTTCAAGCACAGCATCCGCATGTCTACCCGAGCAAGTTTGCAGTAGGACACTTGAAGATGTTCCAGGGAATAAGGAAAGCTCTTCGTGATGGGGTAATCTTTCTTGCATGTAATAAACATCTTGGCTCTTGGTTTTTCGATTTCAGAAGTCTTCGCTGGTATCAAACGTGAGAGTGAAACACCAGTGGCATCTGTACCTTTATGTGCCAGTCCCACTGTAGAAATAAAATTCTTTAGAACACATCCATCTGCCTGCAATGCAAAAATAATGTTACTTTTTACCTTACAACACCAATATTATAACATATCACAGTATACAGTTTACATCATGTTAAAGACTCGCTGAAAGTGAATAAATATCAATAACCAGGCAATTAAGTGTAATGCACACATGTACGCATGTGTTTGGCTACAACTAACAGAGTAGTTGCCTTTAACGTTGCTCCTTTCGAAAGTAGAAAAAAGTAGCCACATCACAAATATTTAACATTATCTTTACTAATTTCCCAATTTGTGTATACAGTTTTGAACAATACACTTAAATGCACAAATCCACACCACTAAATTAACATCTGTTCTGTAACCAAGATATATAGTGCAGTTTCTAGAGAAGTAATGGTTCCCTGTAAAGGTTTCATGCAAGCAAAACAGGCTGTATTCCACCACCCAGTAAGAGGATCGAATTTCTTGTGTATTTTAAATTAAGCAACTAGATTTATACCATTACATTTTCTAACCAATCTTAGTTTAGTGTCATTCTAGCTAGAATCTTTCACTGGGGTCTTATTTAAAATTAAACATTACATGACTTCTGAAATTTTTTTCTCAGCCAGTTCTCATCCTCAAAACTCTGATAGAGAAATTATTCTTACAATGTCTGAGCTTTTCATTTTTCTGGTAAAACAGAACCTAGACAGTTGAAAGGAACACCCACCAGCTGGCTTTAACCCAATAAAAACTTTATCTCAAATATGTTTTTATGGGTGCTAGAGTCAATTGATGTTTTGTTATCTTATGGGGTTAAACAATTTTCGAATGGTTTAACCCCAAAGCTGTCCCATAGGCACCGGTCTTCTCTGCCTCCCCCCACCACCTTGTGGTGGAAGAGAGTATTGACTTGGTAGCCAGTGATAAGATGAGAGTGTTAGTTTCCTGCAGTTTACCTATTGTTATCTTACCTTACTGAGACATATATCCACAGTAGGCTCTTTCAATCGAATTGTAGCTTTTCCTTCTTGTACAAACTTAGAAAACACTTGCTCTATGTTATCTTGCAACTGGAGGGGAAAAAAAACCAAAACAAAAATGAACAAAAAAAAAAAAATAAAGCTTAAAAAAAAACCCAAAACAAACATTTCCTATGCCCAAGAGCTTCCACCTTATCTGCTATTATGAGAGAAGCAAGAGGTCAACATTACAGATTTATTCACTGGAGACTAGCTGTGCTAATCCATGTCTTGTATTTTTCTAAAAAAACAAAAACAATCTAAACATTGCAAAGAATGAATTATATGATTCTGCTGCCTAATTTTTCATAATCATATTCCATAGTGCTGCACAATGGAATGTAGCACTGCATCTGTTACTGGATCCAGTTGGTTTCACTAAAGAAACCATAATCAATCAGCAAATGTTTGATATTAATTCTTTGTAAAGGACAATATAAGTTAAAATAAACCATTTTGGAAGGTTCTGACTTCTTATCTGTGGATTGCATTACACGGCGCCCCACCTCAACTATCATCTCCCTGTTAGTGCTCCTGGGCTAAGCCCTACAATAAAGGACGTAGCTCATTGGCATAGAGTTATCAGCTGAGGAGCTCAGGAAAGCTAACAAAATATTCTGCTGAGGAACTTCTGTCTCACTGAAGTGGCCGTGTTGGCAGGATGCCTTTAAATATATTATATATAAATATATATATATATAGGCTTGGGAATGAGCTTACCAGGGATACCACGTGTCGGGGTTCTTAATGTTTTCAATGTGTTTTTAGAGTATACTTATGCCAGGCGCATCCGTGTATTGGAGACATATAATTTAAGCAGAGTATGTCAAAATCCTCTCCCAGGGCAGGCTTACTATGTTTCAATGGAGACCCCATGCTGGGGGTCTCTGTATACCTATACTTTCTTCAATAAAGTGTTCACTATTTTCACCCTGGATCAAGTCTTGGCAAATGTTTGGGTGAGAGCTATAATCTACTTTGCGGATTCAGAGGTTCGGAATACTGGAGCTCTGTTATAATTGGCCATCCAGCTTTTGCCGACTATATCGCTGTCACTGCTCAGTTGTTCACCTGTACTATGAGAAGTGGTTAATAAATGCTACAATGCCAGTTTAGTCTGACATTCTCTGCAGCACACAAAAAAATCTCGGTGATACAGGAGATGAATGGCACAGTGTGCAAGTGTAAAATATATGTGGCTCCTGACACTCTATTGGGCAAATGTGAGTTAGTAAAATTCCTCATTAGCTGTCAAAATGTGTACTAAAAGAAGATTTTAAAATTTGAACAGAAGAGGAGGATGTCTGGGTGCTGAGTGATCTGTTGTTGTTTTTTGCCAAGCGGCTCTAACAGTTTGACAAAACCTGGAGATGCTGCATCCAAACACTCCTTTCAAAACATACACCACAAAACTGTACTAATACAATAATTATAGGAGTTAGGGTTTAGTGTGTTCAATTAAACATACTGACCATCACAGTTAACTTGTAACAGTGCAGCATTTACTAGGACCCAGCATCTGCATAATTGAAACTTTTAAGGCACATGCTGGGAAAAAGAATGATACAGTAGTATACCCTTAAGAATAATTTCTTAATTTAGTGTTTTATTTGGCGCTTTTGTAGTATTTTAGTGCATTTTATTCTGAATGCAGCTACTCACTGTGTACAAACACAATGCACAAAGAACATATTTCATTCTCTGGCAGAAGCACCCTAATACTTTCATCTTTTTAGTGCCAAATGTAGTAATAAATCTTATATTAACACCACGTACTGATTAACTAACCACTGTTAAATTACTATTACAGTATTGTTATTAGACACCGTTCTGACCACATTACTTTCAATCATAGGGCCCATTTCGATGACTACACGTTCCTTGACAATTTGCCAGTTTTATCAAGTTTGGCAAACTCTCACAAGCCCTGCAGTTTTATAACAGGTGGGCTTCTGGCTTTTTGGGGACAGGGTGGTTAAGGCTTCCTTGCCTTGTATCTGGAGCCAGCCTTGTCCTTCAGGGTGCAGATCATCAGGTAGATGGAAGCTTTCTGCCCTGAGCCTTTGTCCTCCTGTTTTCCAATGGACAGGACAGCCCTGGTGCCTTTGCCCCGGTTCCTCACACCGAAAGTGGGCAGCATCCTGTTAATCACCTCCACCTCACACTGCAGCTTCATGGCTCCTGAGGACCACAAACAACTCTACTAAACAAACCCCCCCTTTTCTTCCAGGATCATAGAGTCTCAGTACACTCGGGCAAACAGTCCACTGAACGTTCTATCTCAACGTAAACAAAACCCATTCAATCCGACTGCTGCATTCCCGCCTGGCTCTCAGGACCCCGACGACGTGACGTCACATTGCGCTGCCCCGCCATTGCCTGACTGCTAACATTTTACCATGGCTATAGCTGCCATGTAACCTGCCTGTGTGTTTAGGAGAGTTTTAATAAAACGTATTAATTGAGTGACAATTTAAAAAAAACAAACAAACAAAAAAAAAAACGTGTAAAGGTTAAAGCCACTCCTCCACATACAAAATGAGCATTTCATAACCATAAGAGCTTTTTGGAAAACATTGAATGAACAACACAGTAAATAGATATTATTATTATGATATTTATATAGCGCCGTCAAATTCCGCAGCGCTTTACAGTGGGCGGACGAACAAACATGTAGTTGTAACCAGACAAGTTGGACACACAGGAACAGAGGGGTTGAGGGTCCTGCTCAATGAGCTTACATGCTAGAGGGAGTGAGGTAAAAGACACAAAAAGGTCAGGATAGTATTAGACTAATGACTGTTGCAAGAGAGGAATCAGTCAGGAGCTATTAACAGTCTAATTGATACGCTTTTATGAAGAAGTGGGTTTTAAACAATTTTTTGAAGGAGTGGAGACTGGGTGAGCATCTAACGAAGAAGGGAAGGGAGTTCCACAGTTGTAGAGAACTCTTGAAGGCGAGCATCAGAGGTGGGAGTACGAACAGTGGATAGACGTAGGTCTTCGGCAGATCGTAAGGGCCTAGATTGGACATATTTGTGTATCGGAGGAGAGAAAGGTGAGAGTAGCATTATGTAGAGATTTGAAAGAAGAACCAGAATTTTATATTGAGCCCTAAATCTTTTGTGAAGCCAATGTAGGGACAGACATAAGGGTGAGGCATGGGAGGTGCGGGCGGACAGGCAGATTATCCTCGCTGCTGTATTCATTATAGACTGCAATGGGGTATGTTGGGAGCTCGTAAGACCAATGAGAAGGAGAGAGAGGACAGTGGCATGGACCTTAGCCGCATCTGGCGTTAAGTAGGGGATGTGCACAATGTTTTTGAAATGGAAGCGGCAGGATTTGGCGATCGATTGGACATAAGGGGTGAGCGAGAGGTCGGAGTCAAAGACAACAGCTTGGCAGGTTACCTGGAACGAGACAAAGATGGGAGTAGCAAAACTTTAGAGAGGAAAGACCAGAAGTTCTGTTTTAGACAAGTTAAGTTTAAGGAAGTGGGCAGCCATCCAGTTAGAAATAGCAGAGAGGCAGTCAGAGACACTAGTCAAGAGGAGTGGGGAGAGATCAGGAGACGACAGATAGATTTGCGTGTCATCCGCATAGTGATATTGGAAGCCAGAGGAGCTGATGAGTTTACCAAGGGAGGCAGTATAGATCGAGAACAGTAGGGGACCAAGGTCTAAACCTTGGGGGACACCAACAGAGAGAGGTTGGGAGGAAGAGGCAGAGCCAGAGAAAGAAACACTAAAAGAGCGTTGGGTGAGGTAGGAGGAGCAACAGGAAAGAGCTATATCACGTAGACTGAGATTACGGAGGATGAGAAGAAGCTGTTGATGATCAACAGTATCAAAAGCAGCGGAAAGGTCAAGGAGAATTAGGATAAAGTAGTGTCCATGAGATTTTGCAGCGAGTAAATAATTTGATACTTTAGTCAGAGCCGTTTCCACAGAGCGCTGAGCTCGGAAACCAGACTAAAGTGGATAGAGCAGAGAAATGAATTTGAGGAAGTCTCTCAATCTCACATACACAAGTCTTTCAAGGATCTTGGACGCAAAAAGCAGTAGCGAGATAGGGCGGTAGTTGGACAGGGAGTTAGGGTCAAGGTTGGGCTTTTTTAGAATCAGGGTTACAGTCGCATGTTTGCAGGGTAATGGAAATATGCCAGATGAGAGGGAGAGATTAAGAATTTTAGTGAGAGGCAAAGGAGACAGAGTATGGAAGAAATACGAGGGAATAGGGAGCAGGTGGTGGGACGGGAGTACTGGAGTAGATCAGAAACCTCTTCCACTGTAGCGGGTGCGAATAAACATAGAACAGCGGAGGGAGTGAGGTTGGGAGAAGTATTATAAGGGGAAGGAGCGACATGAGAGATCTCTTATTGTAGAGATCTTATCAGTGAAGTGAGTTGCAAAGTTTGTGGCGGTTAAGTCGGTAGGAGGGGGAGGAGCAACAGGGTGAAGAAGAGAATTAAAAGTGTGAAATAGTCGTTTGAGTTCACGGGAGAGTGAGGTTATGAGGGTATCGAAGTAATTTACTTTTGCAGAGGAAAGAGCCAAGCTTTCAACCAATCTCCCCTACCACTGCCTTATCCTTTACTTCCTTTAAAGTTCACAATGTCCACGTATTTAAACCCACTCCTTTGCTATCATCTACCTCCCCCGGGCATCCTAGGCTATTTAGTAAGGAGTTTCCTTCCTGGCTACCTCACTTCCTCTCCTCTAGCACTCCTTCCCTTATACTTGGGGATTTCAATATTCCAATCAAAAACCCCAACTGCACTGATGCCTCTCGTCTGCTCTCTGTAACCTCCTCCTTTGGCCTCACGCAATGGTCTAATAAAGCAACCCTTACAGTGGGAAACACTCTTGATCTCACCTTCACTAACCTCTGTACTGCCTCTAATTTCTCCGCTATTCCTTTTCCTTTCCCTCTATCTGACCACCATCTGCTGACTTTTGACATCAGCACACCCAAGACCCAACTGACACCCTCTGCACATCAATATCACAGAAAACTACAATGTCTTGACTTAGAGTGCTTCTCCACTAACCTCCAAACTCTCCTTTTACATATCTCAAACCTCACCTGCCCTAGCTCTGCAATCTCCTTCAACAATTCCACCCTCTCCTCTCAACTAGACATCATGGCACCTCCTACACTTAAACGCATCAAGTGCCCCCAACTACAACCTTGGCACACAAAGCTGATTCGATACCTCCAAAAATGCTCCAGAACTAATGGAGAAATTCTGACTCCGTATCTGACTTCTCCACTATAAATTTATGCTGCGCTCTTACAGCTTGGCTCTTTCCTCTGCAAAAGTAAATTACTTCGATACCCTCATAACCTCACTCTCCCGTGAACTCAAACGACTTCAAGATATTTTACAAGGCTCTCATCTACAGTTGTTGAAGAATGTCACTACAACAAAATATACCCCTGTTACAAAATCCCCTATTGAACAGACTATGCGAACCAGCCTGTTCGGTTATTTAGATGTGTATAGAGTGATTTCGTGCAAATAGCGAGAAAAACAAATGAACTGCCGAACCACCCGACCTCCTATTGAGGTCGTGTGGTGCCTATTAATCACCCAGACTTTGCAGTTAACCACAGACTAATTGGGGAATAGCTTGGTGGTCTGCGTTCGTCTACCGAACGCATGGCAATCACCATTTTGGATTGTCGAACGCTCAGTGGTAAATGGTGGCGATGCCCTGGAACTAATTTCAGATACTTATTTTGCCAAACACCGCTGCTACCTCTCCAGGTCCTCGTTCATACGGTGGAAAACACACGGAGACCCTGCACCATTTGTGTGTTGGATGTATGTGAAAGTCACCGACCCCAGATAGCTACAGTATGGAACTTGTTGTCGGATACAAACACGCGAACGGCCGGTGAAAGTCTCTACCTGGAGATAATTAAGGCTCTCTTTGCTACCTTAAGTGAATTATCTCCAGGATGGAAAGGAGGGAGTGAACTATGTAAAAGGGGAGTGCTTATGTTATAGCCATGGTGATTGGCTACTGTAATTCTTTTGTCCCAGTCTTCCATCTGGTCCCCTAGGGGAGTGTCCACCAGGTGGGAGACCTGCATAAATACCGGGCAGGTAGCCCACAGTAAATCAGATCGTTTTACCCCTTCATGAAGTCTCGACTCATGTTTGAGGGATTGGGAGTTATAATCACTTCGTTTCAGCTGGATTTCAGGAGGAGCTGCAAGGATCATCGCTGCACGAACTAAAGGATCCTTTACAACCCCATTTAAATTCCTAAAAATATTTACAAATTTGAATTTTGTTTAGAAAATAATGCTGAGTTAACTTAGTCCTTATAAAGTCATAACTCTTCATAACATAGGTAAGCCACATCCATATTTATCTTCAAAGCAGAATAACTCACTTTTACAATATAACCAAAAAATCTACAATAAAAATATCACAAATAGTGCAATACGATAACACACCATGTGGTAGATAGTGGACTATTGCTCTAACAAAGGTAAGTAGTTCGCAGGCAGAGCAGAAATCACTGTAGCTAGAATCCTCTGTACTCCAAATCCCAGTATTCTCAGTACCATATATCTAAGGGAATAAAATAGCAAATATTGCAAACAGGGCAAAACAGTATTATATTTAAACAACATTTTAATAACATTGCACTCACAATCGTCCACAGGATAAAAGGCACATCAAAAGATCACCTTATTGCAGGATCCTTGATAAGGAACTTCACTTGATATGTCCGGATCTACGGGACTGTGCCTAGAAGGGGTTGGTTGATCACTACGTGAGGCCTGTGAATATTTTCTAGGATGCACTGCTTCAATGTTGGGGATAACTCTCTTTCCACCACCTCCCTTACCCTTCACATGGGATCCAAAGGTCTTTCCTTAGTGTTACACAATATGATTTTCCATTTTTCTCATATGTTTTCAATCATTTTGTGAATTAGTTCAGCCTGACATCCAATGTTTTTATGTTGTCTCCTCACTGACAAATTATAATTACTTCTATAGTCAGATTTCTATAGTCAGATGTTTACACTACCCTCTCTGCTTAGAGGCTTCAGCTTAGTTAATTATTTAGACATGTATGTCTAGCCTTTGTGACTATGCTATCTCAAAAAAAAAAACCTGCAGTATTCTCGAATGCCATACAACTGTATTTCTATGTATTTTGATGCACTTGCGATTGCTGTCTATGCACGTCAAAGATAAAGATTTTTTAAAAAGTGCATACTTCAGAGAACCATAACAGCGTGTCTTAAGAACAGTCCTCCGTATATGTTTTGTGAGGCATGACTATGACTCCCAATGCAATTGTGTAATTA